CATATGCACAAGCTTCAATAGCCAATTCGATCAAGTGGAAGAAAGGGTATCAGTGATTGAAGATCAAATGAATGAAATAAAGGAAGAAGAGAAGTTTAGGGGAAAAAAGAGTAAAAAGAAATGAACAAAGCCTCCAACAAATATGGGATTATGTGAAAAGACCAAATCTACATTTGATTGGTATACCTAAAAGTGACGGGGAGAATGAAAATAAATTGGAAAACACTCTTCAGTATATTATCCAGGAGAACTTCCCCAAACTAGCAAGGCAGGCCATAATTCAAATTCAGGAAATAAAGAGAACACCACAAAGATACTCCTCAAGAAGAGCAACCCCCAGACACATAATTGTCAGATTCACCAAGACTGAAATGAAGGAAAAAATGTTAAGGGCAGTCATAGAGAAAGGTTGGGTTACCCACAAAGGGAAGCCCATCAGATTAACAGTGGATCTCTCAGCAGAAACTTCAAGCCAGAAGAGAGTGGGGGCCAATATTCAACATTCTTAAAGAAAAGATTTTTCAACTCAGAATTTCATATCCAGCCAAACTAAGCTTCATAAGTGAAGGAGAAATAAAATCATTTACAGACAAACAAATGCTGACAGATTTTGTCACCACCAGGCCTGCCTTACAAGAGACCCTGAAGGAAGCAGATGGAAAGGAACAACTGGTACCAGACACTGAAAAAACATGCCAAATGGTAAAGACCATTGATGCTATGAAGAAACTGCAACAATTAACGGGCAAAATAACCAGCTAATATCATAATGACAGGATCAAATTCACACATAACAATATTAACCTTACATGTAAATGGGCTAAATGCCCCAATTAAAAGACACAGACTGGCAAATTGGATAAAGAGTCAAGACCCATCAGTGTGCTGTATTCGGGAGACCTATCTCACGTGCAAAGACACACACAGGCTCAAAATAAAGGGATGGAAGATGATCTACCAAGCAAATAGAAAGCAAAAAAGGCAGGGGTTGCAATCCTAGTCTCTGATAAAAACAGACTTTAAACCAACAAAGATCAAAAGAGGCAAAGAAGGCCATTGCATAATGGTAAAGGGATCAATTCAACAAGAAGAGCTAACTATCCTAACTATATATGCACCCAATACAGGAGCACCCAGATTCATAAAGCAAGTCCTTAGAGACCTACAAAGAGACTTAGACTCCTACATAATAATAATGGGAGATTTTAACACCCCACTGTTGGCATTAGACAGATCAATAAGACAGAAGGTTAACAAGGATATCCAGGACTTGAACTCAGCTCTGCACCAAGCAGACTTAATAGACATCTACAGAACTCTCCACCCCAAATCAACAGAATATACATTCTTCTCAGCACGACATGGCACTTATTCCAAAGCTGACCACATAGTTGGAAGTAAAGCACTCCTTAGCAAATGTAAAAGAACAGAAATTATAATAAACTGTCTCTCAGACCACAGTGCAATCAAATTAGAATCAGGATTAAGAAACTCACTCAAAACTGCACAACTGCATGGAAACTGAACAACCTGTTCCTGAATGACTACTGTGTAAATAACGAAACAAAGGCAGAAATAAAGATGTTCTTTGAAACCAATGAGAACAAAGACACAACACACCAGAATATGTGGGACACATTTAAAGCAATGTATACAGGGAAATTTATAGCACTAAATGCCCACAAGAGAAAGCAGGAAAAATCTAAAATCGACACCCTAACATCAGAATTAAAAGAACTAGAGAAGCAAGAGCAAACACATTCAAAAGCTAGCAAGAGGCAAGAAATAAATAAGATCAGAGCAGAACTGAAGGATACAGAGACACAAAAAACCTTCAAAAAATCAATGAATCCAGGAGCTGGTTTTTTGAAAAGATCAACAAAATTGACAGACCACTAGCAAGACTAATAAGAAAAGAGAGAAGAATCAAATAGACTCAATAAAAAAAGATAAAGGGGGTATCACCACCAATCCCACAGAAATACAAACTACCATCAGAGACTACTATAAACACCTCCACACAAATAAACTAGAAAATCTAGAAGAAATAGATAAATTCCTGGACACATACACCCTCCCAAGACTAAACCAGGAGAAGTGGAATATTTTTTAGACCAATAACAGGTTCTAAAATTGAGGGCAATAACTAACAGCCTACCAACAAAAAAAGTCCAGGACCAGATGGATTCACAGCCAAATTCTACCAGAGGTACAAAGAGGAGCTGGTACCATTCCTTCTGAAACTATTTCAATCAACAGAAAAAGAGGGAATCCTCCCTAACTCATTTCATGCGGCCAGCATCATCCTGATACTAAAGCCTGGCAGAGACACAACAAAAAAAGAGAATTTTAGACCAATATCCCTGATGAACATCGATGCAAAAATCCTCAATAAAATACTGGCAAATCGAATCCAGCAGCACATCAAAAAGTTTATCCACTACGATCAAGTCGGCTTCATACCTGGGATGCAAGGTTGGTTCAACATATGCAAATCAGTAAACATAATCCATCACACAAACAGAACCAATGACAAAACCCACGATTATCTTAATAGATGCAGAAAAGACCTTCGACAAAATCCAACAGCCGTTCATACTAAAAACTCTTAATAAACTAGGTATTGATGGAACGTATCTCAAAATAGTAAGAGCTATTTATGACAAACCCACAGCTAAAATCATAGTGAATGGGCAAAAACTGGAAGCATTCCCTTTGAAAACCGGCACAAGACAGGGATGCCCTCTCTCACCACTCCTATTCAACACAGTGTTGGAAGTTCTGACCAGGGCAATCAAGCAAGAGAAAGAAATAAAGGGTATTCAATTAGGAAAAGAGGAAGTCAAAGTGTCCCTGTTTGCAGATGACATGGTTGTATATTTAGAAAACCCCATCGTCTCAGCCCAAAATCTCCTTAAGCTGATAAGCAACTTCAGCAAAGTCTCAGGATACAAAATCAATGTGCAAAAATCACAACCAACTGATTTTTTTTTTTTTTCGGATTGAGTTTTGCTTTTGTTGCCCAGGCTGAAGTGCAATGTTGTGATCTTGGCTCACCACAACCTCGGCCTCCCAGGTTCAAGCGATTCTCTGGCCTCAGCCTCCCTAGTAGCTGGGATTATAGGCATGTGCCACCATGCCCGGCTAATTTTTTTGTATTTTTAGTAGAGATGGGGTTTCTCCATGTTGGTCAGGCTGGTCTCGAACTCCCAACTTCAGATGATCCGCCTGCCTTGGCCTCCCAAAATGCTGGGATTACAGGCATGAGCCACCGCACCCAGCCTACAACCATCTTTGACAAACCTGACAAAAACAAGAAACGGGAAAAGGATTCCCTATTTAATACATGGTGCTGGCAAAACTGGCTAGCCATATGTAGAAAGCTGAAACTGGATCCCTTCCTTACACCTTATACAAAAACTAATTCAAGATTGATTAAAGACTTAAATGTTAGACCTGAAACCCTAAAAACCCTAGAAGAAAACCTAGGCAATACCATTCAGGACATGGGCATGGGCAAGGACTTCATGACTAAAACACCAAAAGCAATGGCAACAAAAGCCAAAAGAGACAAATGGGATCTAATTAAACTAAAGAGCTTCTGCACAGCAAAAGGAACTACCATCGGAGTGAACAGGCAACCTACAGAATGGGAGAAAATTTTTGCAATCTATTCATCTGACAAAGGGCTAATAACCAGAATCTACAAAAAACTTAAATTTTCAAGAAAAAAACAAACAATCACATCAAAAAGCGGGCAAAGGACATGAACAGACACTTCTCAAAAGAAGACATTTATGCAGCCAACAGATACATGAAAAAATGCTCATCATACTGGCAATCAGAGAAATGCAAATTAAAGCCACAATGAGATACAATTTCACACCAGTTAGAATGGCGATCATTAAAAAGTCAGGAAACAACAGATGCTGGAGAGGATGTGGAGAAATAGGAACACTTTTACACTGTTGGTGGGACTGTAGATTAGTTCGACCATTGTGGAAGACAGTGTGGCGATTCCTCAAGGATCCAGAACTAGAAATATCATTTGACCCAGCCATCCCATTACTGGGTATATACCCAAAGGATTATAAATCATGCCACTATAAAGACACATGCACACGTATGTTTATTGCGGCACTATTCACAATAGCAAAGATTTGGAACCAACCCAAATGTCCATCAGTGATAGACTGGATTAAGAAAATGTGGCACATATACACCATGGAATACTATGCAGCCATAAAAAAAGGATGAATTCATGTCCTTTGCAGGGACATGAATGAAGCTGGAAACAATCATTCTCAGCAAACTATGACAAGGACAGAAAACCAAACACTGCATGTTCTCACTCAGAGGTGGGAACTGAACAACGAGAACACTTGGACACAGGGAGGGGAACATCACACACCGGCCTGTCTGGGGAGGTGGACTGTGGGAGGGACAGCATTAGGAGAAATACCCAATGTAAACGATGAGGTAATCGGTGCAGAAAACCAACATGGCACATGTATACCTATGTAACAAATCTGCACGCTGTGCACATGTACCCTAGAACTTATAAAAAAAAAAAAAAAAAAAGAAAAGAAAAAATCAATTCCCAAAGCATTTCTCTCATCTCTTCTGAAAAAGTTCCAAAAACACAACTCCAAAGATGAAATGGAAGTTAACGGTAAACAGGCAATAGCGCTGAATACATAATTTCAGTAACTCAGAATTTGCTCCATCCTCTGCTCCAAAGCTTAGCTACAGAAGAGCAGTCACCTTTGAAACATTTTCCCAAACATAAAGATATCCAGAATATGAAGCTGCCATTCAAACTGTGACACAGATCTTCCTTTACTGATATGTGAAAACATCCCTAAAGTTCTAAATACGAAGTACAGAACCACATCAACCGCCTAATTTGTCTGTAGCCAAAGCTCAAGTAGGGAGTTTATCCGCAAGCGGAATTGGGAAATATTTCAGCCAGCATCTCCTCGCGCCATCCTGATACCTACACACTTGAGGCCACCGAGTCACCTGCGCAGCCGTTGCTCCTCCAAGACCAATCCGGGCTCCCCAGACCCACGGGCCTGAAGCTGGAGCACAGCAGACCGCGTGACAACAGCGACTCGGAGATCAGCACCCGTCGGGAAAGCCGGGTACCCGTTGAAGCTGGCGTCACGCCCCAAGGAACAAACGCCAGAGCGTGTGTCCTGGGCAAAGGCGACCCGCCGCTCCGGTCCCCGGGCAGCAGCTGCCGGCGTCAGGCCGCAAGGCGAGGGGCGGGGACGGGACGCTACCCGGCAGCCAGGCGCCGAGCGGTAACACCACTCCGGCCTTGCGCCATTCCGGCCCTACTACGGCCGGCGGCGGCAGCGCGGCTGGGCTCAGCGGCTCGCAGCCCGGGCGCCCCCCCTGCCGGCCGCTCGCTAGCTCAGCCTCACCCGCAGTCTTGTCCGCCGGCTCGCTCGCCCGCCCACAGGTCTACAGGGCCCAGCGACCCCACGAGCTACTCCACGTAAGGCACTGACCGACAACGCTCCGCGACCGCCGCGCCCCGCCCCTTTGTGACACTACCTACCAATCGCTGGACGGCGCTCTCGCTACCCTCCAATCAGCGCTGGCGGGGCGGGCCTGGACCCGGACGTGGGCCGTTGCAGGGGCGCCAGGGCGCTGGGGCCTTCTTGGCATTCCCTGGAGGTTGTGGGTTACAAGGCCCGGATGTTGCTCTTTTATTCCTAGCAACACGGCACCCCTGACTCTTGCCCACGCGGGCGTCTTGAGGGCGGCCGCACGGCCTGCTGGGAACGGCAGGGTGGCCGGAGTGCTCTCCGTCAGACCCACCGGGGATCCTCTTCCAGGCGCCTGATTTGCTGGGGATAGGCGATACAGGTAGATGCTGTCCAGTCGGTGGCCTCTTCAGAGCCAGGGGCACTCCTGGTGTGTTTGGGTCGGCCTGCCCTGAACAAATCCGCTTCGGGCTTCAATGTCCCCTAATGTTTCTGGCCTTAATTGCCTCATCTGGAAAATGGGGGCATTACCGTGCTTGGTTGAAGACAAGGGTGAAAACAGATAACTTTCTGTAGTCCTCGTACAATTTACTGAGGACTGTGGGCCAGGCAATGGAGTAGGCACCCTGGGCTCAAATCCCAGCTTTGGGTAAGCTCAGCCAGGCCTCCTGCTCCAGTTTCCAAGCTACTGAGCTGCGGCGTAAACAGTAACTGGCTTCAAGCCAACACCTGCCTTTCAGCCTAACATGGGAGCCCACTGCCTCGTTCTGCCTACCGATTTTCCAACTCCGTGAACCTCCTTCACTACGGGGGTTACTCAGCTGACAAAGAATGTCATCTCGCTCCCGGTGGGGGCTCAGTCATCCTCGACTTCTGGCTCAGAGGAGTCGGTCTAATATGAAACTAAACACCTAAGCTGTGTCTCCTGTCCTCTCATTCTTCTGAGACCCTACCCACCAACTTATCTCCACAGTTCAACGAACTATTGAGCATACACTGGAGGAGTATGGTGAGGCACTAAGCTTTGATTCACCAGTCTCGCCGCTGGTTCCTTCTGAAACTCTACATATGCTTAATGCTAAATAGATTGGAGCCCTTTGAGGACAGTTATGATGCTAATAATCTTTGCCTTCCTGAGCCTAGAATAGGATGTGATGGAGACTTACTGAGTAAAAACCGTTCACACTGGAGAATTGACAGCATGGACCGTGGAGTCAGGCAGGTGTGTTTAAAGCCTTGGTTCTCAATACTGGAAGCTCCATTACCTGGCCAAGTCATTCATTCTTTACAACATCTTCATCATTATCATCTAGTTGACAAAGGTCTTTACATATTCTCTCCCCATCACAATCCTGCAAGGTTGGTATTTGAAACCCCTTGTCTACTAAGAAGTAAACAAAAGCTAATTAAAGTAGAACAATTTGCCTATAATCAAACAGCTCTATGTCGGAAAGCCAGATTTAAATGTAGGGCACAATACAAAAATCCAAACTCGTTCCATTATTCCACATCGCTTCCAGATTTTAGCTTCATCTGTAAAATTAGTGTTACTACATAACCTATCTGATAGACCGTGGAGACTGAATAAAACAGCATTAAAATTTGTTACCATAGGAACTTTTTTTTTTACATAAGTTCTCTCTCCCTTTCAAGCCTCTCAAAATACCAGTTTGCGTATTTTCTAAACCTATTGTCTCCTGAATCCCCTGAAATCAATCCTACTGATTGATGAGTAGATTTAGTTGTTCCAAAAGAAAATCATCATATTTAACAAATGCTGACTCTGACCCACACTGGGTCCTAGAGCAAGAAACTATTTGCGCAAATAACCTAAGGACAGAAGGAAGATGCATAAAATGAATAGGGGAAAGGAGTGGGCAACTAGCAAGTGCCTTCATCTGTCATCATGTCACTCTCATAGCAGACTTGGGCAAATGGTTGACCTGTGGGAGCTGTAAAAAATCTTGACTCTGGATATGAGTAATTCCCCATCTGATCTTACAGTACCCAAGGAAGTAGTCAGTACCTCCAGGATCACCGAGACCAACCTGGGCTGCCTACAAGATTGTGCCATGGTGACAGGCTGAATAGTCAGCAGCAAGACGACAGAGCACCAAAAAGCACAGACTAGAATGGGATCAGCAATCCAGGTGGCTGGTGGCTACTGCCTTTGTCGATGCAGATAAAGAACGTTTTCATTCCCGCAGAGTTCAATGGGGCAGTGCTGCTCTAGAGGCTGACATTTCCATCCTCAGCACTTCCCCCTGCTATTAACCTACATTCATTCTGCTACTTCCACAAGGCAAGAATGGAACAGGATGCCTTAGAGCAATGGTCAGCAAACTGTTTATGTAAAGGGGCAGGGCCAGGCATGGTGGCTCATGCCTGTAATCCCAGCACTTTGGGAGGCCAAGGTGGGTGGATCACGAGGTCAGGAGTTCGAGACCAACCTGGCCAACATGGTGAAACCTCGTCTCTACTACAAATACAAAAATTAGCTGGGTGTGGTGGCAGGCACCTGTAATCCCAGCTACTTGGGAGGCTAAGGCAGGAGCATCGCTTGAAGCTGAGAAACAGAGGTTGCAGTGAGCTGAGATCATATGACTGCACTCCAGCCTAGGTGACAGAGCAAGACTCTATCTCAAAAAAATAAATAAAATAAAAGGGTCAGATAGAAAACATCTGAGGCTCTGTGAGCCATCCGGTCTCTGTCATAATTACTCAACTCTTACATTGGAGGTAGGGTGAAAGCAGCAATAGAAAGTAAGTAAATGAATGAGTATGGTTGTGTTCCAATAACACTTTATTAGCAAAATCCGACAGTGGGTTGGGGGGAGGGCATAGTTTGCCAAACTAAAATAAAAATTTATTAAAGATTTAAATGTGGCCAAGCATGGTGGCTCACGACTGTAATCCCAGCCCTTTGGGAAGCAGAGGTGGGTGGATCACAAGGTCAGGAGGTCGAGACCATCCTGGCCAACATGGTAAAACCCTGTCTCTACTAAAAATACAAAAATTAGCCAGGCGTGGTAGCACATGCCTGTAGTCCCAGCTACTAAGGAGGCTGAGGCAGGAGAATCGCTTGAACTCTGGAGGCGAAGGTTGCAGTAAGCCGAGATCGCACCACTGCACTCCAGCCTGGGCAACAGAGCGAGACTCTTGTCTCGGAAAATAAAATAAAATAAACAAAATAACCTGAAATGAGAAAACTTTTCTTTTAGGTTTTTGTCTAGAAGTTTCTAGGTATGGATCTTGACACTAATTTACTGAATATGTCACAAAAGTGGAGACATGGAAAGCAAAACTAAACATGGGACTGTGTCAGATTGAAAACCTTCACAGCAAAGAAACCAATAAAGAAATTGAAAAGCTTTTTAACAAATATCCAAAATACCTAAAGAACTTGTATTAATAAATAGGAAATAAACCAAAACAAAACAGAAAAGCATCAAAAAGCTTAAAAATAAGCAAATTTTGCTGGGCGCGGTGGCTCAAGCCTGTAATCCCAGCACTTTGGGAGACCGAGGCAGATGGATCACCTGAGGTCGGGAGTTCAAGACCAGCCTGACCAACACAGAGAAACCCCGTCTCTACTAAAAATACAAAATTAGCCAGGCATGGCAACGCATGCCTGTAATCTGAGCTACTCGGGAGACTGAGGCAGAAGAATCTCTTGAGCCCAGGAGGTGGAGGTTATGGTGAGCAAAGATCATGCCATTGCACTCCAGCCTGAGCAACAAGGGCGAAACTCCGTATCAAAAAAAAAATGTGTTCAGCAAGGTTGAAGCATAAAAGGTTAATAGTCAGAATCATTTATCAATTGTAAATCTATACATCTGCAAGACACAATCTGAAAATGAAATCAGAAAAACAATTTCATTGGGCAACAAGAGCAAAACTTCGTCTCGAAAAAAAATAATAATAATAATAATATACAATATCACTTCCCATCCAAGCTTGACTTCTACCTTTACTTTCTGATATGGTTTGGTCATGTCCCCACCCAAATCTTATCATGAATTGTAATCCCCATAATCCTCATGGGTTCAAGCGATTCTCCTGCCTCAGCCTATCAAGTAACTGGGATTACAGGCAAATGCCACCACACCTAGCTAATTTTTGTATTGTTAGTAGAGACGGGATGTCACTATGTTAGCTAGCTAGTCTTGAACTTCTGACTTTAATTGACCCACCTGCCTTGGCCTCCCAAAGTGCTAGGGTTACGGGTGTGAGCCACCATGCCCAGCTGAGATCTCATGGTTTCATACATGTTTGACAGTTGCTCCTTCACATGCTCACACTCTCTGTGTGGCCGCCATGTAAGTCAGACCTGGTTCCCCTTCTGCCATGATTGTACGTTTCCTAAGGCCTCCCCAGCCATGCGAAACTGTGAGTCAATTAAACCTCTTTCCTTTATAAATTACCCAACCTCAGGTATTTCTTTATATCAATGTGAAAACAAACTAATATACTTTCTGATAACCATGCTTGAGGAATTGGGGAATTCAGACTACCTGGGATCAAACTGTGGCCCCACCCTTAGCAGTCATGTGACCTTGGGGAGGTTACTTACCTTCTCCATCTCCACTTCTTCTGTAAAATCTGTAAATGAGATTGTTTCTGAAGGTTAAATGAGCATAGCACAGTGGGGACACTGTCAGGCACACACTGCTTGCCAGATGTCAAGTATTCATCTTTATTGAATTAGAACCGTGGTAACCCACTTTATGGCTCTCGATTTTGTATGACAAAATCATGCTTAGTGCTTTGTTAGTAAAAGAAAGAAAATCTGAAAGTCCCTGCCGTGGAAGGAAGAAATAGTGGGGAGAAAAGGGAGTTGGTAAGTTTCAGCATTTCAGAGCATGGAGGGACAAGTTAGGTTTCTATTTTATGAAGAAGGAGGTGGAGGCACGATGGGTCCTAAGGTGTCATTCAAGACACATAGCCATAACTCTTTATTGAGAATAGAGCTAGGGCCCCAGGGATTGCTGTGGTCAAGTTGCAGACAAAAATGACCACTCATTGGAAGATAGGAGAGGAGTGTTTTGTTACAAAAGCAGTCAGCAATTCGGGTGTATCTATATTCAGTCAGCAAATAAAAGTCATTCAACTTGGTTGCTAATGGTTCCCACTCTACTGAGGCTTTGTGTAGAACTCATAGAGAAAGATGGCTTCAAGCAACGAACTACCCTGTGCTTTTCTTAGGACTAAAAAGCTCAGGAAGCTGGTGATGAATGAAAATCTTAGTCCCACTGGCACTGCACGAGGGGCCAGGAGAGCAGCAGCATCATAAGCCACAGGGTGGGGCAGCCCAGGCAGGGGCATTCTGAGCTGTTGGGGAGGGGTGGCAGCCAGGGTGGGGCACTGTGAGCTGTCGGGGAGGGCATTGTGAAGTGTGAGGTGGGGCATTGTGTGCCACATGCCTGGGCTCCCACCTGGGCCAGTGGGCTTCAGTCTGTAGGTGACTACAGAAGGAGGAGGAGCTCCGTTTGTTCTCTCTTCAGGCAGTTGTGTCTCTCAGCGCTTTTTGGGTTCACAAGCAATTTAATAAGCTGGCTGGTCTTCACCCTCCCAGACAAGTCAACTCAGGGGAGGCGGCCAGGTGCGGGCCTTGGCCTGCAGCCCTAGCCAGGGCCCAGGACCGGGCTGTGAGTTGGGCAGGCGAGCAGTGGGCAAGACCATCTCTGCAAGTGCAGCATAGCCTCGGCCTAGGGCAGCGGGAGTGCGAGGCCAAAGCTGTGAGCAGAGGCACAGGTGGTGGCAGACAGTAGAGGCGTCCCATGGGGAACATACTGACCTGTTATGTGCGACCCAGGGTCAGCCCCGAGTTTGACCAGCAACAGTGGTCAGTGTGTCCCTCTGAGTCCAAGATCTATGAGGCAGGAGCTGGGGACAGGATGGCAGGAGCTGGGAACAGGATGGCAGGAGCTGGGGACAGGATGGCAGGAGCTGGGAACAAGATGGCAGGAGCTGGGGACGGGATGGCAGGGGCACCCATGGCTGCTGCTGTGCAGCCTGCTGAGGTAACTGTTGAAGTTGGTGAGGACCTCCACATGCACCACATCCATGACCGGGAGATGCCTGAAGGTAAGGAGGTGACGGATGCCATCTGCCTTGGGCTTGCCTCTGGCTACTGCTGTCCCCAAGGTCCCCTGGGAGGCATCGCCCACTTCGAGCTCCTTTCTGCCTGTAGCCAGCTTTCCCGGGGCTGGCCAGGAACAAGAGCTGGCTCTGCCTTGCATTCCCACCCCTTAGTCTTTCCCCACTGAGTCCAGTCAGTTTCTTTTCTCCTCCCCTCCCAATCGCCCAGTTCTTGCTCTCTCGTCTCATTCTGCCAGGCTGCCATGGGACCATTTATTTGTGACTCTTCTTGTCAAATAAGCAGCAAATAAATGAGTTGATAAATTTTTGTAAATGGTTACATCTTTTTTTGCTTTTCTCCCTCTATACAGATAGCTTTGGAGTTTAACCCTTCTGCCAATCCAGAGGCAAGCACAATATGCCACAGGAACTGTCAAACAGATGGTGAGACAACATTGTCTGTAGCTCTATGTATTATCCTGTGGGACTTTGTTGAGGCTTCTTTGGACCATTCTCTTCCTTTCCTCAATAAAAACTCAATTATCCCAACTTTCCAGCAGCCATCTTATTTTTTCTTTGTACCTACCCAGATGGTACCTAAGTGAAGGAACCACGTAAGTGCCTAATTGTTTCCTTTGTTAAAGTAGCTAAATCTCAGGACAGTTCATATTCAGATATTCGGGAATTTCTTGTTTAAAATCAGAATGGAGGTTGCCATGGGAGAGGATGTATGGTATTCTTAATGGGCTGCTGTAAGTCACCTTGATAGAAGCTGCTTAGTTTCTTCTAACTGTAATTTGAACACAGAAGGAAATAAAAGAAAAAAAGGGTGCTTAAAATAATTGTGAAAGGTGTGAAATGTCATGGCCAGGGCTGCAGAAAAAGGTTGTGTGTCTGTGTGTTTGGGGTTTCTCAAAGGACTTTACCTATGAAGCACTGATTAGTTTAAAATTTTTAATTTAACACAAAATGTGTTTCCAGATTTATTCTGGTGATTTAACAGACTTTATTCACCTCCTTGTTCTAAAAGAGAGGTGGGGATTGGTTCATGATCAAAACTTTCAAAATACATGAAACGTCAATGTAGACTTTTAATGTGTAATATAAAGATTGCGGGTTAAAATGTCAGACCTTCCCTGTAAGAGTGTTTGTTGCCGAGGCTCCCCCTTTGTCCTTTCCCCTCCTGACAATAGCATCTTGTTCAAAGATAAGAAAGTTGGAGTTTTGACCGGGTATGGTGGCTCACGCCTGTAATCCCAGCACTTTGGGAGGCCAAGGCGGGCAGATCACCTGAGGTCAGGTGTTCGAGACCAGCCTGGCTAACATGGTGAAACCCCGTCTGTACTAGAAAAAAGTACAAAAATTAGCTGGGCGTGGTGGCGCATGCCTGTAGTTCCAGCTACTCGAGAGGCTGAGGCAGGAGAATTGCTTGAACCCAGGAGGCGGAGGTTGCAGTGAGCAGAGAGCACCAATGCACTCCAGCCTGGGTGACAGAGTGAGACCCCATCTCAACAAAAAAATAAAAATAAAAAAGAGAAAGAAAAGAAAAAGAGAGAAAGAAAGTTGGAATTTTTTAGTCTCTATACTGCTGGGAGAGGCGGGGGATGGGAGGTGGTAGAAAAAAGAAAACAATTAGTTGGTTTGCCTCTAAAATTTTGCAAAACGGTGAATCTAAGTAAAAGTAATTCTGGGTAATAATATGGTTCATGAATAAAAACTAAAATTTTCAAAATAGAAAACATTGCATCATAAAGATATTAAATCCAGTTGGCTTATTGGTTTCATTTAAATGCCAGAGATTTCATTGCTGTAGAAGAAATGTCTTATAGCTCTTCTATTTAAACTTTGATTGGGCTCCTAATTTTTTAAGAGGTAGGATAATTAAGACTCATGATGAGTGTGACTTTGTAACTTGGAAGTACTATCCTCACTTTTCAAGATATTTAAGGATTGCTTTAGAATAAACAAATATATTACGTGAACTAATTGATTATACCTTTATACACAAACTGTGTAAGTACTTGTGTAAACTTATACTCTGCTTGGTGATGTAAGGAAAGCCTCTGAGTGATGTTACACACCAGCTAGTAGATGGGTAGTGTTGGATGAGAGCCCAAAAATGGCTCTTTATTGTCATTCTTTAGGATTACAGCACAGTTTATGTATGTCTCACTTGGCCCTTTCCAATACAAATAAGACCTGTGTATGTTCTCCCTTTGTATTGCTAATGAAGAAACGAAGACGTAGAGATATCACATGACTACGGAAGACATCTACTTAACAGAACTAAGGTTCTATGTCCTCAGAATGACATGGAAGTGACAGATATGCTGTATTTACTTTTTTTAAATTTAAAAAACTCTAGAATACATCTATATTTTGCCTATAAAATAGACCTGTCTTTTAAAACTTACTGACATCTTGATTTATTTTATGCAAAGTGGATTTTATACAACTCAAAGCCAATATTTACCTCTTCATTTTTTTTTTTTTTTTTTTTTTTTAAATAAAGGAAGGTGTCACTATGTTACTCATGCTGGCCTCAAATTCCTGACCTGGGTTCAAGTGATTTTCCCATCTCAGCCTCCTGAGTAGCTGGGACTACAAGCATGTGCCGTCTTGCCTTGCTCTATCTTATGTCCATACATTCATTTCAATGGATAAGAATAAAAGTAGAGGTAGTGAAACAGCCTAAATGCAGCAGTTGAATAAACAAATTGATAAATTTTTATAAATGATTACATCTTTTTTTCTTTTCTCCCTCTATACATATAGCATTGGAGTTTAACCCTTCTGCCAATCCAGAGGCAAGCACAATATTCCAGAGGAACTCTCAAAAGGATGGTGAGACAACATTGTTTTTTCTACCAAGAGAAATAATAAAAACTCTTATTTGATTAGGTTATAGAAAGTATTTAGAAAAACTCAAATTGGTTTAAGTTTTTCACCTTTTCACATGTTCACTTGTCTTATTTTAACATGTAATATACTTTCCTTTAGTTGTTATTGTTTTAGTGAAAACATGTAAACTGTTTGTTTATACATTTTGCCATCTTTTTATCAACACAATTAATTTGTCATGTGATGGAGGAGTCATGGACTTCTTTATTTATACTTCTTGGATTTATCTTTATTTATAATTCTTGGATTTCTTTTTATTTATAATTCCTTTTCCCTTACTCGAAAGAGTGCATTTTAAAGATGAATGATAGAACTTAGGCTTCAGCTTGGTTTTCATTTAAACAAATTAAAAACATTGTTGTTTATCATCGGGGATTGAATCTGTGATTTGGGCCTCCTCTCACACAGTCCTCTGACCACATTCATTTACCACATCCAAGTTCATGCTACTCAAAACTTTTAAGTTTTTAACCTTTTCATTTGATGTAATGTAAATTTAAACATGCCCTACTCTTGCTTATTTTCCTTAATGTTATGCTAAATCCTCATTTGTTTGCTAAAAAGCCATACACAGCCAAGTTTTCCAGTTGACTTAAATAGCAAGAATACAAGTGAGGGTTCTATAATAATATGTGAAGTAATGCAGCACAGTGAAACATGGGAGTTTGTAACCTTTGTTTTAATAGTTTGAGTAGACTTTGCCCAACTTGAATCAGTTATTTCTGGTTAGAACTTGTGTTCATTTTTTACATTACTGTAAAGAGATACCTAAGGCTGGGTAATTTGTAACAAAAAGAGGTTTAATCGGCTCATAGATCTTGGGGCTGTACAAACATAGCTTCAACATCTGCTTCTGGTGAGGGCCGCAGCAAGCTTACAATCATGATAGAAGGCAAAAGGGAAGCAGGTGGTTCCACATGGTGAAAGAGGGAGGAGGGAGGGGAAGGGGGAAGTACCACATTCTTTTTTCTTTTTTTTTTTTTTTTAAATGGAGCCTCGCTCTGTTGCCCAGGCTGGAGTGCAATGGCGTGATCTCTGCTTACTACAACCTCCATCTCCTAGATTCAAGCGATTCTCCTGCCTTAGCCTCCCGAGTAGTTGAGACTATAGGCAGGTGCCACAACACCTGGCTAATTTTTGTATTTTTGGTAGAGACCAAAAAAAAATTTTTTTTCTTAATTGTAGAAATGAGAAGAAGCAACTGTACAAACCATGTTAGTAAACAGCTAGTTAAGAAATTGATAGTTTGACATAAAAGCATGTCTCTCTTCATTTTTTAAAATTACAATATGTACCCAGTGGTGGTAGCATGGAGCTCTTTTTGTGGATTTTCTAAATCTCTTCTATTTTCCTAAGTAATTTATCCAGAAAAATTTTTAGCTTAGTGTGTCCACCTTTTAAGGATTTCTGACATTTAAATTGAATTTCAATAGTCTGGTTGTGGTAAAAAGATCTGCCTTAAGGCTGGGCATGGTGGCTCACGCCTATAATCCCAGCACTTTAGGAGGCCCAGGTGGGCGGATCATCTGAGGTCAGGAGTTCGAGACAACCCTGACCAACATAGTGGAATTCTGTCTCTACTAAAAATAGAAAATTAGCCGGACACTGTGGTGCATGCCTGGAATCTCAGCTACTCAGGAGGCTGAGGCAGGAGAATCACTTGAACCCGGCAGGCAGAGGTTGCAGTGAGCCAAGATCACGCCATTGCACTCCAGCCTGGGCAACAGAGCGAAACTCTGCCTCAAAACAAAACAAAACAAAACAAAAAAACAAAAAACAAAGAGATCTGCCTTAAATATTGAATCTTATTTTTAATGAAATAACAAAAATAGAAGAGCTAAGTTAATTGCCAGCACTGTCTACTGACTTTCTATCACAGCAGGTGAAAGCATAGCTTTCTTGCTACACCATGATCTTATGTTCCTCCCTCTGTTTCTTCCAGTAGTAGCACACTTCTTCATTAAATCAGTAATATTTACATGATTATGACTCTGCAAATATTATTCACTGCTAAGTCATATGGTGTTTTCATTGTGCCTCTGCATTACATATCCTTCATCCTGTCTCTGAAACAGTTATGAAATCTGAGCAATTCTGCAATTCTCCTGGAAATTCTCTTTTTTCCTAGCCTATGTTAGTTTATCCATCCAAATATAGTAAGTAGCCTCTGGGTGGTCTGTTTGCTTTCACATCCATTATTTTTTAGCATGAAGCTAATTTTCTGACTATATTCATTTGCTTATTTTCTAACAGTTGTTTTTCCCCAAGTGTTGTAACATTTATCACATGCCTTTCAAAGATATTTTGCATCTGCAAAAACACATCTGTTCCTTTTGTGTGTGTGTTGGGGGGGCAACTTTCTTTGGCCTTTTGTCATCCTAGTTCAGTATGGAGTGGCTTTCCCTAGATGTGCTCGATGTCTGCTTTTCTGTGCTATCTCCTTAAAGTCTTTTGGGATCTCACATAACTGCTCTCTTGTGTGGGATCACCTGAGTCCTAGATTCTGTGTTTCCTTCTGTCCGGTAATCCTCTCTAGTTGTAGTTGAACACATTTTCCTGGGTGGAGATGTTTAGAAAGCTGGCCAGTCTTAAAATCCCTCCTCTTTGATAGAGAGGACACCTCTAGGTTGAATCTAAATTTTATGATTCTAAAGACATTTTGCAGTTGTGCTCTCATTACAGTGTTGTTCTTGAATCTATTACCAGTGTGTGATACACAATTTACAACCAGGTTTTAGGTATCTGTGGAAACTTTTTTTTTTTTTTTTTTTTTTTTTTTTGAGACAGAGTTTCACTCTTATTGCACAGGCTGGAGTGCAGTGGTGCAATCTTGGCTCATTGCAACCTCCACCTCCTGGGTTCAAGTGATTCTCCTGTCTCAACCTCCCAAGTAGCTGGGAGGACAGTCATGCACCACCATGCCTGGCTAATTTTTGTATTTGTAGTAGAGATGGGGTTTCACCATGTTGGCCAGGCTGGTCTCGAACTCCTTATCTCAAGTGATCCACCCACCTCAGCCTCCCAAAGTGCTGGGATTACAGGCGTGAGCCACCACGCCTGGCCCGAAATATTTTAGGATTTTTCTCTCTCTCTGAAGTTCTGAAATTTTATAATAACAGCTTGGCGGGGATCTTTTCATTGAGGCTACTAAACCTGAGACTATCTCTTCTTGAGAAATTTTTTTAATTTTCTCTGTTACTTTTTTACTGATAGTCTTGTTTTTCAGATGCTAGGTTGCTTAGACCAGTACACCTGCATTTGTTTTTTATTTTTCCCCTTCTTTTTCTTTCAGTTTGTCCTTTTATTCTAGTTCTGGGATATTCTGTGACTTTATCCTCTACTATTTCTGTTGAATTTTATATTTTTGAGAGTATTTTAAGATTTTTTTGTTAAGTTTTGCTCCTGGTTTTGACTGCTCCCATGAATTCCTTTTTTCTGTTGCTTTGATTTCTGTTGTTGGAGGCTTCCCTCCAATGTGTGGTGGTCCCTGGCCTGCTTTATTTGGAAGCAGGACTTCTGTTAGCTGATAGCACTCACTGTGAGGTTTTGGAAGTCAAACTAGCTTTTCATTTGGGGGACCTCAGTGTATTATCTGGGGATCTTTATTCGAGACATTTCAGTTTCTTCTGAGAAGGATCTCCCAATTTTCTGCCTGGGAAGTAAAAGCATGGCCACTTGCTTTCCAAAAGCAGAGTTAGCGAAGGAAGTAGGCGTTCCATTTTTGGTATACAGTTTTCTTTATATCTCAGGTTTAAGCCATGGTATCTCTGAGCCAGGAATTCTCAGGTTTGATATATCCGGAGAACACACATCTAAGTTTTCTTGTCAGATGGAAGGACAGGTAGACTCAGGCCTCTGGTTAGAGATTTTCAACTGACCTTGCTGGCTTTTGTTTTATATGTTACCCTACTTTCCAAAGTGCCATTTGCCTGTAAGTTCACAACCTGCCTTTAGTTCTGCAAGACAAACTGGCTCGCTTCGGTTCCAGTCACTTTCTGTAGGGACCAAAGTTGCGCTTCCGTGTTATTTACCACTCCTTAATCTACTTTTTATGTCTCAGCATTTATTAAAAATTATCTCTGTCAACCTTCTCTCCTGGTCATGTGTGTAATCTTTATGACTAATGAGACTTCCGGAGGGAGAGGAAATAAATTTGTGGTCTATCTATTATATTTAATCCAAATTTAGGACCTATGTTTAAATCAAAGTCTAATTTGAGTATAATTAATGATATTAATCCAGAGAATTTTTTTAAATTAATGTATCTATAATAAGAATATTTCACTTTTCTCCTAAGGCCTTGTTTGACATTTTCATTCAAATTTTATCCACTGCCATCTACTTCCCATTACTTCACAATAGATGGAGCTGTTTTCATGAATGCCCAAAGTGTTAGAAATATTTAAGTTAATTAAGATTTGTTCATTTTTGGCCTGGTCAACATAGTAAGTTTAAATAACAAATTAGCCAGGCCTGGTGGCATGTGCCTTTCGTTTAAGCTACTCAGGAGGCTGAGACAGAGGATCACTTGAGCTCAGGAGTTTGCAGCTGCTGTTAACCATAATTGCACCACTGCACTCCAGCCTGGGCAACACAGGGAGACCCTGTCGCAGAAAAAGGAAAAAAGTTATTAATTATTTAAAAACATATCTAAAATTTGTCCTGCCCAAAATGAGAGCAAAAAATGTAACCTTCAGTCTTTGTTTTATGTTTGCTGAGAAAAATGCTGTATATTATTTATTTATTTATTATTTCCGTAGGTTTTTGGGGGAACAGGTGGTATTTGGTTACATGACTAACTTCTTCAGTGATGATTTGTGAGATTTTGGTGCACGCATCACCTGAGCAGTATCCACTGAACCCAATTTGTAGTCTTTTATCCCTCACCCTCCTTCCAGCCTTTCCAGAGTCCCCAAGTCCATTGTATCAGTCTTATGCCTTTGCATCCTTATAACTTAGCTCCCACGTATGAATGAGAACATATGATGTTTAGTTCTCCATGCCTGCGTTACTTCACTTCGAATAATAGTCTTTACTTCCATCCAGGTTGCTGGGAATGCCATTAGTTTATTTCTTATTGTGGCTGCGTGATATTCCTCATGTGTATATGGGTATGTATATCACAGTTTCTTTATCCACTCCTTGATTGATGGGCATTTGGGCTGGTTCCATATTTTTGTAATTGTAATTTGTAAATTGTAATTTGTTTGAGTTCCTCATAGATTCTGGTTAACAGCTCCTTGTCAGCTGTATAGACTGTGAAGATTCCCTCCCACTCTGTGGGGTGTCTGCTTACTCTGCTGATTGTTCCTTTCCCTGTGCAGAAGCTCTTTAGTTGAGTCTCACCTGTTTGTTTTGTTGCATTTGCTTTTGTGTTCTTAGTCACGAAGTCTTTGCCTAAGCCAGTGTCTAGACAGGTTTTTCCAATGTTACCTTCTAGAATTTTTATGGTTTCAGGTCATAGATTTATATCCTTGATCCATCTTGAGTTGATTTTTGTGTAAGGTGAGAGTTGAGGATCCAGTTTCATTCTCCTGCATGTGGCTTGCCAATTATCCCAGCACCATTTGTTGAATAGGGTTCACTTTCTTCACTTTATGTTTTAGTTGGCTTTGTTGAAAATTAGTTGGCTATAGGTATTTGAGTTTATTTCTGGGTTCTCTATTCTGTTCCATTGGTGTATATGCCTATTTTTATACCACTACCATGCTGTTTTGGTGACTATGGCCTTATAGTATAGTTTGAAATCAGGTAATGTGATGCCTCCAGATTTGTTGTTGTTGCTTATATTTGTTTTGGCTATGTGGGTTCTTGTTTGGTCCCATATGAATTTTAGGATTGTTTTTTCTAGTTCTGTGAAGAAGAATGGTGGTATTTTGATGGGAATTACATTGAATTTGTAGATTGCTTTTGGCAGCATGGTCATTTTCGTGATATTCATTCTACCTTTTCATGAGCATGGGCTGTCTTTCCATTTGTTTATGTCCATGATTTCATTCAGCAATGTTTTATAGTTCCCAATGGCATATCAAAATGATGTTCCAGAGGGTACAGTGGCTCACGCCTGTAATCCCAACACTTTGGGAGGCCAAGGCAGGTGGATCACGAGGTCAAGGGTTGAGACCAGCCTGGTCAACATGGTGAAACCCCGTCTCTACTAAAAATACAAAAATTAGCCAGGCGTGGTGGCATGTGCCTGTAATCCCATCTACTCAGGAGGCTGAGGCAGGAGAATCACTTGAACCTGGGAGGCAGAGGTTGCAGTGAGCCAAGATCGCCCCACTGCACACTCCAGCCTGGGTGACAGAGCGAGACTCCATCTCAAAAAAAAATATATATATATATATATATATATAATCCACCATAATCAAATGGGTTTCATACTAATGATGCAGGCATGGGTTAACATACACAAGTCAATAAATGTGATACACCACATGAACAGAATTGAAAACAAAAAAAATCACATGATCATCTTAATAGATGTGGAAAAGACATTTGACCAAATGCAGCATCCTTTTATGATTAAAACCCTCAGCAAAATTGGCATACAAAGGTTACACCTCAATGTAATAAAAGCCATCTATGACAAACCCACAACCAACATAATATCGAATGGGGAAAAGTTGAAAGCATTCTCCCTGAGAACCAGAACAAGACAAGGATGCCCACTCTCACCACTTCTATTCAACAAAGTACTAGAAGACCCAGCCAGAGCAATCACACAAGAGAAAGCAATAAAAGGCATCCTGATCGGTAAAGAGGAAGTCAAACTGTTGCTGTTTGCTGATGATATGATCGTATACCTAGGAAACCCTAAAGACTCCTCCCAAAAGCTCCTAGAACTGATAAATGAGTTCAGCAAAGTTTCAGGAGACAAAATTAATGTACACAAATCAGTAGCTCTATTATACCCCAACAGAGACCAAGCTTAGAATCAAACCGATAACTCAACCCCTTTTACGATAACTGCAAAAATAAAATAAAATAAAATACTTAGAAATAGACATAATCAAGGAGATGAAAGACCTCTACCAGGAAAACAACTTTAGTATTTTTAATGGGTTAAAATGAGAGGCAGCAGGTACAGCGGAAGAAGTCAGTGGGTGGGCATTGGTGTCCAATGGGTACTGGACCTTTGGTGGTAAAGCTTTGGTTTTGACTTACTAAATTACTAGGTACAATTATTTTCTAGTTTTTGTTATTAAATCTTAAAACTACTAAGTAATCCCTTCCATTTCTTGTTAAAGATCATAAAATTTCATACTCTGATTTCTTCTGACTGACGTTAGATTGTTTCTATTTTGTGACTACCTTAAATAATACCTATAAACAGTAAACTGTTAGTAATGTTTTTGCTGTAGTTAAATGTAGTAAGACTTATCCTCCAAATTATAACTGAATTGTCAAACACTTGCAAAGTTTTGGGTTTACTCAGAATTTTATGCTCAGCAGCTGGAGGTAGCAAGAATAACGGCCCTCCCTTACTCTTATGGAGAGGCATACTCTCTCATGAGGGGGATACGCTGCAAGAATTAGTATCTTGTAAGCAGTGGTGAATTTGACTAATTAGTGTACAAAAAAAACCATTTTTTGGTGTGGCTGCTGACAAAGAGATCCAAGAGGGTAGATGGAGTCAAGCTTTTGCTGAAGCAAGGAAAGAGAAAAGCAGTATTCTAGGCAGAGAGCAGGGGTAACGCAGGAAAATGGCTAGGTGCAGGTCAGATGACTTATAGAATGAAATTGATCAAGTTTTGAAATGAATGGAAAGTATTCTCTGAGAGTCTCATTTGAGTCGTGTCATGGCAGTCTTATTTAAACATGAAGCGAAAGTTAAATTTTTTAAGTTGTCATCTGTTTTCAGGGTATGTGAGAGAATATTTAAGTGATACTCTTTTTATCCTCCACTTAAGAAAATAGGACTAGAGAAACCTATGGCTTCCTCGCTTGTTGGTGGCCTAGCAGCCCTGACACACAGAGCCTCGGAATCTGAAACACTTGTTTTGTCACAATATCGCCTGAAATAATACATTTAGGATGAGTAATTTAGTAAATGCATTAGTCTTGTAGTCACTGCAATAAAATGCTCTTGTACCAGTATTATTTAATACATTACATTTTATTGTAGTAAATAAATCATAGAAATAGAAATTCTCGGCTGCTTTATATTGCTGTAAAAAAAATGAAATCTTATTTTAAACTTTTCTCATGATTTTTAAAGGGAATTCATAAAATCCTTGTTAGGTTTGATGACAGGTACCATATTAAGGGCAGCATTTTATGACCCATATCTTAAACATCGTCTCTGGAAGTTAAGAGCCTCCAATGGGTTTTCTGTAGAGTGCACATGATACCGCACTCAGGCAGTTCATGGAGTGTAAGAAATATCTTAGTGCTTTATCATTTCACATTTTAACCAAGAAAATAATACACTTTGATAAGTTTAACTTATACTTCCCTTCCCTTTCAGGTATCTACTGTGCGTTTCAGTCAACAATACAGCTCATGTTTGACAATATTCCTTGATGACAGCACAGCCAGCCAGTCTTATCTTACAATGACAATAATATCGTGAGTACAACTATACTGCCAAGGGACAGATTCCTTTATTCTAAAATTATTTCGGCCATTTGTTTTTCCTCTCCAGCAATCAGTTTAAGAAATTGGAGTCAACTATGTATTGGTATCCAGATTCTAAATATTAATATCAATTTCTCTTTTAATCTTAGATATCATGGTGGAAGGAAAAAATCAGCAAAGAAGCAATCCCAGAAAAAGGGTATTTTTTTGATGCCTTTATGCCTTAAGACAATGTTGAATGCAGTGAGAAGAATGAGTTCCCTTTATTGAATGTTTTTCATGAAAACTTAGTCATTCAGTGCATTATAGGCCTAAATCAGTGTGTACTACTTTGGACAGTAGCCTTGGAAGAAGGAGCAGCTTTTTCTCTTCTGGCACCACAGTGTATCTGCATTTGCATTTCTCCCATTGTGCATAAGCACCTCATGGGCCACAAAGATGCGCTTTGAGAGCACCCTGAGATGAAGTTTATTTTAAAAGGAACAACAACCAACACCACCAACAGCTCCATAAGGGCTTTCCAGTGTACATTATTATCATCTCCTTGGGTTATGGGTGTTGATTTTTAGAACACAGTTTGGAAAGTACTAATTTAGAACATTAATATCTTTATCTTTAATTTTACTTTTCATTCTATAAACATACCTAGCTTATACACGATTTTGTTTCAAATACACTAGCCTTTTTAGCTAATTCAATTGTCAGTAACTTTTACTTTAATTAAAAATGGCAAGCTTACACTCGTAATAATGTCACTTTCCTTCCCCCATTTTAACAGTAGTTGAGATGAAATTCCGGTTCAGCAAAAACTGGACTCAAACTCTGTCTCAAGTCCTGAGCTTTGGAACCTATTGAGTAATCACTAAATGTCTGTAGTCAGCCAAGTCTCTTAAATCTTTGAGCACACATACACAAAAGCTAATTTGACTAGAGTCCCTGGCTTCTTTGAGTTCAAAAGACTTTGATGTGTTAGCATACAATTCAAAAGTAGCTTTGAAGATTAATCTTGCTCAAACAAATTTCATGCTTTTTTCCTCATTATTCTACTTTTTGGAAGTCTACTTTTGAAAGTAAAGTAAGTTTTAATTTGCCATCAGCAAGTTTGAGAAATGATCATTTGGTATATTCACTATTGATGAAATAAAGGTTTATTGAGCAAATTAATAGGGCAAATTGACTTCAAGAAAAGATTCTGAAAAATGTTTATCACGAGTCAGTAGTGCAGTGTTGTCAATGGGATAGGTGGAACTCACTGAGAACACTTATGCAAAGTTTTTTTTCAAAATACAGATCTGAAAACAGATGTGTCTTCCCATCTCCACTTTCCCTCTATCTCTAGGCACTGAGAAGCCTTTTAGGAAAATAGAGATGCATGTGAGACATCTTTATGTGAAGAAAGGCATCCCAGAAGATTCTGATTTTCACTCCAGCTCAATCATTCCAAACTTTGCTGCACATTGAAATCACCTGGGAAACTTTTACCAACAACCTTGATGACCAAAGTCATATCCAATACTAATTAAATTAAAATGTCTCATGTTGAAGATAAGGCCGTTATTAAAGCTTCTCAGGTGATTTTAATGTGCGGCAAAATTTGAGAGCCACAGCTTAATTTGAGTTTAGGACGAGAAACTGCTCCTATTTGGTGGGCCCTTGGGCAAGTCGATTTTTTTTGTTTTTTTTTGTTTTTTTTTTGAGACGGAGTCTTGCTCTGTCGGGCAAGTCAGTTTTAAGGTTTGTTTCCCTGATCTGTAAAATGAGTGTTGAATTAAATGTCATGAAAGGTCATTGGTCCTTTCCAGCATGTAACTTTAAATTCTGTGATTTTAAAATTATTTCAGAGATGAAAACTACTTGAAGCACTATAGACATATCCATCTTACATGCTAATGTTACAGGCTTTTTAAAAAGTGCTATTATTGTATAGACCTATTAACTGAAATTGAGATTTGCCCTCCCTCAGTTGTTTTGAGCCTCGTTCTACAAAATTAGCTCAGTGTGGTGGTGCATGCCTGTAATCCCAGCTACTCAGGAGGCTGAGGCAGGAGAATCGCTTGAACTCAGGAAGCAGAGGTTGTGGTGAGCCAAGATCGCACCATTGCACTCCAGCCTGGGCAACAAGAGTGAAACTCCATCTCAAAAAAAAAAAAAAAACCATTACCTGGGCATAGTGGCACAAACCTGTAGTCCCAGCTACTTGAGAGGCTGAGGCATGAGAATCGCTTGAACCTGGGAGGTGGAGGCTGTGGTGAGCCAAGATCGCACCACTGCACTCCAGTCTGAGCAACAGAACGAGACTCTGCGTCAAAAAATAAATACATACATAAAATAAATCGCATGGGGCAAAAGGTTTTGTGGGTAGAAGAGCATATAACAGGGAAATCTGTTATTATTTATACATTATAATCATCAACAGAAACACATCTTCTAACAGCATATTGCCTCACATTTTGGTTCTCATATTTTTGCAGAAAACCAAGAAATGAAAACAAGAAAGTGCCCTTATGGTACTGTTCCAAACTAGAAAATTTGAATTTCAGGGCCGCTAGGAGAGTTTCCTCTGCCCCCCTTTTAAAAAATATCTTCAGGCCTAACAAATGATAACATCTATTGTTATGAAGTTTTTTTTCCTTCCACAGTGTGATCTTGGAGATACATCATGATGTCATGCAAAGGTGAGCTTTTTAGAAACCTGTCTTGTTATTCTAGCTAATTACTTTGCAAGATATCAAGCTCAGTGTTAGGATACAGCTCTAGACATCATAAGTTGTATTGTGCCTGCTAAAATATCAAAGAAAATTATTTGTGTTTTCTTTGTTCCTTAAGATGCTTTTAATACTTAAACGACTGAGAATCCCGAAGACTATGTGTTTATATTGATTATATTGATATTTACTGTGGTAGAAATACAAAATTGAATTTTTTTTTCAAAATCTATTTTTAGTTTAGATTTCACAGCCTTACCACTGTTGATATTATGAGCTAGATAACGCTTTGTTGTGAGGACTGTCCCGTGCATTGCAGAGTTTAGCAGCTTTCATGGCCTCTACCAACTAGATGTCAGTAGTAACCCGTGACCAAGGTTGTACAACATAAAATATCCCTTGAGAACAATATTAACAGATATTTTTCATTGAAAAAATAACTTTTCTACAACAAAACTTGAGTAAAAAGTGTGTCATGTATTTATATTATTTAAAGTCTCTGATGCTGAGCTTAATAGGAGACAACTGGACTCTCTAGATCTTTCTTTGTAATTTGCTTTAAAGAAGCAATAAGAGGCCAGGTGCAGTGGCTCACTCCTGTAATCCCAGCACTTCGGGAGGCTGAGGTGGGCGAATCACAAGGTCAGGAGATCAAGACCATCCCAGCTAACAAGGTGAAACCCCATCTCTACTGAAAATACAAAAACTTAACCAGGCGTGGTGGCACACACCTGTAGTACCAGTTACTTGGGAGGCGGAGGCAGAACCGCTTGAACCCGGGAGGCGGAGGTTGCAGTGAGCTGAGATCGCACCACTGCACTCTAGCCTGGTGACAAAGCAAGAGTCCATCTCAAAAAAAAAAAAAAAAGGCAATAAGATGGCCAGGTGTGGTGGTTCATACCTGTAATCCCAGCACTTTGGGAGGCCAAGGTGGGCAGATCACTTGAGGTCAGGAATTTGAGACCAGCCTGACCAACATGGTGAAACCCGCCTCTACTAAAAATATAAAAAAATAGCTGGGCGTGGTGGTGCATGCATACCAGCTACTTCTGAGGCTGAGGCCAGAGAATTGCATAGACCCGAGAGGCAGAGGTTGCAGTGAGCTGAGATCTCCCCATTGCACCCCAGCCTGGGTGACAGAGGGAGACTCTGTCTCAAAAAAAAGAAAAAAGAAGCAATAAAATGACCTAACCTCATGCAAATATGTAGTTGTTAAAAAGGTGTATTTTTAAAGTTTTCAGACAGTTGTCAGTATTCTTTAATACTAAATCAAAACTTCACAAGTGCTAGTTTCTTAAATTAGTTACAGTGGCATTTTCCATGTTAATACATTTATTCCATCAGTACTCATTGATCTTTCTTGCACATTAAATGGATCTTCCCCCCATACTTGCATTTATAATATTATGCATTAGTTACTTGGAATATATTGGTTTATGTTTTATTATGTCAAAAATCACTTTTAGTTTAAACACCAATCTTACTTTAAAATGCCTTTAAGTATTGAAAAGATGTCAAGCCTACAGTAGAAGGAATGAGTTTTTCAAAGTCCTCAAGAAAGCTTAAATTTCATCATTGGGAATAAATACTTATTTTCATTGAAGTGACAACCTCTCACTTCATTTATTTTTGAGAATGATAGTTGTACTTCTTTTTAGACTAAGTCTCATTCTGTCACTTGGCTGGAGTGCATTGGCATGATCTCAGCTCAAGCAATCCTCTCACCTCAGACTCCTGTGTAGCTGGGACCACAGATGTGTGGCACCACCCCAGGCTAATTTTCTTGTATTTTTGGTAGAGACAGGGTTTCGTTATGTTGCCGAGGCTGGTCTCAAATTCCTGAAGGAACTCAAGCCATCGGCCTGCTTTGGCCTCCCAAAGTGCTGGGATTTACAGGCATGAGCTACTGCGCTGGCCCAGTTGTACTTTTAAATAAAAACGATGTTCCATTAAAAAAAAGTGATTGTTCAGTTCACAATTGAATCACGAATTTTTTTTTTAGGAAAAAAAAAAAAAACAACCATACTGCAGTCAGCAGAAGCACTTCTTGTTAACTTTCCACTTATTCAGAATATTAAAGAGACATGTCAAGATTTAATAACAACATTAATTTTTACTGCTTCATCAAAGACATTCTTAAGAAATTCAGGCTATCTTTTTTAACTGTAGGGGACAGTAAAGAATAGAGTGACTAATGTAATTGGTACCACTGCCTTGATTTATGCTGAGAAACCAGCAGTTTACCCACTTTTACTTTTATACAGTCATGGCAAGTGTCAATGGAAAAGCAGGCAATGACTTTGTATTACTTTTACAAATTTTTAAAATTTTTAATCAACTTTCTCAGGTTTAATTAGTATGATTCAGAACAGTGTCAGCCAGGCACAGTGGCTCAGTCCTGTAATCCCAGCACTTTGGGAGGCTGAAGCGAGTGGATCACCTGAGGTCAGGTGTTCAAGACCAGCCTGGCCAACATGGTGAAACCACATTTCTACTAAAAATACAAAAATTAGCCGGGCATGGTGGTGGGCACCTGTAATCCCAGCTACTCGGGAAGCTGAAATAGGAGAATCACTTGAACCCAGGAAGTAAATGTTGCCGTGAGCCAAGATCACACCATTGCACTCCAACCTGGGCAACAAGAGAGAAACTCGGTCTTAAAAAAAGCAGTGTTGACCTCTTAGGCCTTCTGGAAAGGGTCTTGGGGATCCTGAGAGGTTCACAGAGCACATTTGGAGAACCGCTGTTTTATCACACAGGCACAATGCATTAGTTCTACAAAGTTTAAAGTTCATCAAAGATTGGCCTCTTAAAAAGGCAGTTGAGTTTTTAATTCAAACAACAGAAAATACGTAAATACATCATGAGAATATACTACAGAGAACTAAAGAGAAAGGAAGCAAGGAAACTAGGAAATCTGAATCACATTTACATTTATTTTTTATTTGTTATTTATTTATTTGTTTGTTTCTGAGATGGAGTCTCGCTCTGTTGCCCAGGGTGGAGTGCAGTGGCGCAATCTCGGCTCACTGCAAGCTCTGCCTCCTGGGTTCACACAATTCTCCTACCTCAGTCTCCTGAGTACTTGGGACTACAGGAGTATGCCACCACGCCCAGGAATTTTTTGGTATTTTTAGTAGAGACGGGATTTCACCGTGTTAACCAGAACGGTCTCAATCTCCTGACCTCGTGATCTGCCCGCCTCGGCCCCACCAAAGTGCTGGGATTACAGGTGTGAGCCACTGTGCTTGGCCACATTTACATTTATTTTATTTATTTATTTTGAGATGGATTCTCGCTTTGTCACCAGGCTGGAGTGCAATGGCGCGATCTCCACTCACTGCAACCTCCGCTTCATGGGTTCAAGCAATTCTACCTCAGCCTCCTGAGTAGCTGGGATTACAGGCATGTACCACTATGCCCAGCTATTTTTTGTATTTTTAGGAGAGACAGGGTTTCACCATGTTGGTCAGTCTGGTCTTGATCTCGTGACCTTGTGATCTGCCTGCCTCAGCCTCCCAAAGTGCTGGGGTTACAGGAATGAGCCACTGTGCCTGACCACATTTTTAAAGTTCACCACTACTGCTTTGTAAAACATTCTTGTGTTTCAATGTGTGGTTAGAAGAGTGAAGATATATTTGGTTTATTGCCATTCCCTGTTAGGGACAGTCAATACTTATGGGCATTTCTGACTGGTTATCATATAAAATACTTCACAGTACAGGACATGATGTGCTGAGAAAGAAGAAGTCAGGAAACCCTCTGCAAGTCAGGATCCAGGAGAAGAATTTGTAAATACTGCTTTGGTAAAGTAAACACCAAAGCACACAGGAGGCCGTATTTTACTAAACAGATATTATACTAAGATATTAACAGTTTTTGAAGTAATGCACATTCTTATTTTATAGAGATGCAGATACATCTTTGAACGTATTTGATGAATGGTTATACTCATTTACGGTAAGTGGCACTTTTATTGCGGTTGTATTTTCATCATACACTTGTATCTGTTTCATGCTGAAGTCAAAGGCAACTTTTTTAAAATCTTCCCCACTTCATGTCACATTTAGTCATCTGAAGTGTTGTAAAAAGAATGTGCTGGAATAAGAACTGGTCTGCAGCTCTGTTTAGTTAGTGAGCTAATACGAGTAAATATACTATCCAAATAACAGAAAATGTGGGGGTTTTTTGTTTTTTTTGTTTGTTTGTTTTTTTGTTTTGAGATGGAGTCTCTCTCTGTAGCCCAGGCTGGAGTGCAGTCACGTGATCTCGGCTCACTGCAGGCTGTGCCTCCCAGGTCCCTGTTCAAGCAATTCTTCTGCCTCAGCCTCTTGAGTAACTGGGATTACAGGCATGCACTACCATGCCCGGCTAAATTTTTTTTTCTTTTTTTGTTTTTCAGTAGACAGTGTTTCACCATGTTGGCCAGGATGGTCTTGAACTCCTGACCTCGTGATCCACCCGCCTCAGCCTCCAAAAGTGCTGGGATTACAGGTGTGAGCCACCATGCCTGGCCCAGAAAATATTTCTTTTTAAAAGGTAATTGTGAGCTGTCTATAGGACCCTGCAAGTCACTACCCAATGTTCGAAGCCATTCCTCCTTCTGTTCCACACAGGTTCCACCATGCACATTACCCAGACAAGAAATGGAGGTGGAAGTTTAAGTAACAAATTCCTCCTCCATTCCATCAACTCCCAGCATCAGCCACGAGGACCTTCAGATCAATGGTCCTCCCGGTGCCAACACACCCACGCCTGTTTGCAAGGAGTCCAAGCACTGGTCCAACCTGTTGACATCTGAGAAAGGGAATGACCCAGATAAAGAAAGCCCTAGAGAGTCATGCTGACATCACTGGGAGCAGCAGAGCCATTCCAATTAAACAGGGCATGCTCTTAGAGCTAAGTGGGAAATGGCTGAAGAAATGGAAAAAGAAATATGTCACCCTCTGTGACAATGGCGTGCTCACCTATTATTCAAGCTTAGGTGATTATATGAAGAATATTCTTAAAAAAGAGATTGACCTTCGGGCATCTACCATCGAAGTCCCAGGAAAGAGGCCACCCTTAGCCACACTGGCCTGCGCACCCATTTCCAGCTCTAAAAGCAATGGCCTATCCAAGGACATGAACAGTCTATGTACCTCAGCCAATTCAGACACCAGGCTGGGTGACTCCATATGCTCCAGCCCCAGTATCTCCAGCACCACCAGCCCCAAGCTCAACCCACCCCCCTCTCCTCATACCAACAAAAAGAAACACCGAAGGAAGAAAAGCACCAACAGCTTGAAAGATGATGGCCTGTCCAGCACTGCTGAAGAACAACAAGAAAACTTTATCATTGTGTCCCTCACTGGCCAAACGTGGCACTTTGAAACCACGACATATGAGGAGCGGGATGCCTGGGTCCAAGCCATCGAGAGCCAGATCCTGGCCAGCCTGCAGTCATGCGAGAGCAGCAAAAGCAAGTTCTGGCTGATGAGCCAGAGCGAGGCCATGGCCCTGCAGTCCATCAGAAACATGTGTGGGAACTCCCACTGTGTGGACTGTGAGACCCAGAATCCTAACTGGGCCAGTTTGAATTTGGGAGTCCTCATGTGTATTGAATGCTCAGGGATCCACCATAATCTTGGCACCCACCTTTCTTGAGTTCGATCTCCGGACCTGGATGACTGGCCAGTCGAGCTTGTGAAGGTTATGTCATCTGTTGGCAATGAGCTAGCCAACAGCCTCTGGGAAGAGAGTAACCAGGGGCAGATGAAACCTTCGGTCTACTCCACAAGGGAAGAGAAGGAATGGTGGATCCATGCCAAATATGAGCAGAAGCTCTTCCTGGCCCCACTACCCTGCACGGACCTGTCCCTGGGCCAGCACCTGCTGCAGGCCACCGCTGATGAGGACCTGCAGACAGCCATCCTGCTGCTGGCACATGACTCTTGGGAGGAGGTGAACGAGACCTGTTGGGAGGGAGATGGCTGCACAGTGCTGCATCTGGCCTGCTGCAAGGGGAATGTGGTCCTGGCTCAGCTCCTGATCTGGTATGGGGTGGATGTCATGGCCTGAGATGCCCATGGGAACACAGTGCTAGCCTACGCCTGGCAGGCCTCCAGCCAGGAGTGCATCGAGGTACTGCTGCAGTACGGCTGCCCCGACGAGTGCGTGTAGTATCTGTTTAATTTTATTTGACTGCAGTCTCCTTGGTGCAAAAACAAAATGGGAAAAATAAATAAGAATAACTCAGAAATTCAAAAGGAAATCACAAATTCACCTAATAATAGCATTTTGAGTGCATTTCGTAAATTAAGCAAATACACAAAAGGTTGATTTTTCTGACTGTAAGAGATATTTTATGTCCTTTTGCTGAGGTGGATATGTTAATCTCAGGCCCTCCTGGGCCACATTGCTCAAGTCACACAGGCTTCTGTATTATATATTTAGATAAGATGTGTGAAAGTATCTTTGAAAAAAAGTTCATAAATATGCATTGATTTTTGTACACATGGCACCTCTCTTTTATTTTTTTGAAATGGAGTCTCGTTCTGTCACCCAGGCTGGAGTGTAGTGGCGCGATATGGGCTCACTGCAAGCTCCGCCTCCCAGGTTCACGCCATTCTCCTGCCTCAGCCTCTCAAGTAGCTGGAACTACAGGCACCCACCACCACGCCTGGCTAATTTTTTGTATTTTTAGTAGAGACAGGGTTTCACCATGTTAACCAGGATGGTCTCAATCTCCTGACCTCGTGATCCACAGCCTCAGCCTCCCAAAGTGCTGGGATTACAGGCATGAGCCACCATGCCCAGCCCATGGCACCTCTCTTAATTTATAAATTGAACTGGATGTGAACTAATAATGTGCAATTATTGAGATAAGAGGGTTATAGATCATTATACATGGAAAATATTCCCAGCGTAAGCACTTCCATTAATGTGATCTACAGCTTTTAAAAAGGAACATTTCAGAATAAGATGGTGGTACAATTTACTTATTAAAATTGAGAAAGGAAAAAGAAAAAGACACTGGATTATATTAGAAAGGGAAAAGAAGGAATGTGATTTCTCATGATTAAAAGCTTGATCTAGATTGCATGCAGCTTTTGCTACCCAAAACCAAGCAACTCTGGCAAAACAGAGTGGTTTTCTGAATGCCAGACTGAGATGCCTTACAAAGGCAGCTGCTGATGGTTCCAGATGTAGAGATAGGTGATGCAGGAGAGAAAGCTGGATTGGAAAAGGAAGAGTTTTGTAGATGGGCTAAGCTCAGTGTGACTTTGAGAGAGCAGAGCCAGCAGCATCTAGTCATCATTTGGATGTACAGGACTAGAGCATGAATCTGACGTAGAGCTGTGGAATGAAGAGCAACAGCAGCTCTTTAAATACCGAGAAAGTGTGTAGAATGAAATTGGACAAGCCAAGCATGGTGGTTTCATGCCTTTAGTCCTAGCTACTTGGGAGGCTGAGGTGGGGGAATTATTTGAACTCAGCAGTTGAGTCCAGCCTGGGCCAGATGGTGAGACCCTGTATCTTAAGGAAAGAAAAAATAAGGCCAGGTACAGTATCTCATGCCTGTAATCCCAGCACTTTGGGAGGCCAAGTTGAGAGGATTGCTCAAGTGTAGGAGTTCAAGATGAGACTGGGCAAAAAAGTGAGACCCATTTCTACCAAAAAAAAAAAAAAAAAAATCAAGAAATTAGGTGGACATGGTGGTACATGCCTGTGGCCCCAGTTACATGGCATGGCAGGCTGAGGCAGGAAGATCACTTGAGCCCAGGAAGCGGAGGCTGCAGTGACCTGTATTTGTGCCACTGCACTCCAGCCTGGGCAACAGAGTGAGACCCTGTCTCAAAAACAGATAAAGTGGACAGAAAATAGGTTGGTAAGGACTATTGTCATTTAAAAGACAAGCCCCCAGAGGAGTGGCTACTAGAGTGAGAGGAGGAAAAGCAGAAGAGGATAAGAAAAGGCTTTCAAAAGAATTCAAGACAGGAAAGGCTGTGGTCACAGTGCTGAATGCTGCCAAGCAGTGACTTGATTCGTGAACACTCACTGGATGCTGACTCTGTTGCTCTTCTGAGTGCTGGGGTAGAGGAGAGAACAAGTGGAACACAGTTCTTGCTTATATGAAGCAAGTTCTAGCTTATGTTCTAGGAAGTTCAAACTTAAATATTTTTTCAGGGAGCATAAAATAGCAAGAAGAGGAAGCAGGCTGAAGGGACACAGAGTGATTGGGGGCTATTTTAGGTAGAATGATAAGGAACAGCCTCTCTAGAGAGCTGACATTTGAACAGTGACCTGACTGAGGGGATGATGGAAAACAGTGCTGACATTACAGGCAGCAGGATGACTGCCAAGACAGACAGAAAAGCATTTGATGTGTGTTTGAGGAACAAATAGCAAGGTGACCAGCATGGTCAGAGTGAACAATGAGGAAAACCTTGAATGAGAATAAAGCAATTCTATCTTAGATGCTAATCTGCCATGTTCTGATTAATCCCACTTCCATTAAAAACTTCTACGATTTCTATTTTATCTTTTTAATTTTTTTTTTTTTTTTTTTTTTTTTTTTTTTTTTTTTTTTTTTTTTTTGAGATGGAGTTTCACTCTGTCTCCCAGGTTGGACTACAGTGGCACAATCTCAGCTCATTGCAAACTCCACCTCCTGAGTTCAAGCGATTCTCCTGCCTCAGCTTCCCAAGTAACTGGGGTTACAGGTGCCTGCTACCACACCTGGCTAATTTTTGTATTTTTAGTAGAGACGAGGTTTTACCATGTTGGCCAGGCTGGTCTCAAACTCCTGACTTCAGGTGATCCACCCACCTCGGCCTCCCAAAGTGCTGGGATTACAGGTGTGAGCCACCATGCCTGGCTGTACACATCCCTCCTGAAGCACACATTACCCTTTCCCTATGCTGTATAAGCCCTGGGTCGGGGAGGTGGGGGGGATAGCACATGGATCCACCATCTTGCCTTGGTCCCATCACTGACTTGGCTTCTATTCATAAACGCCTATTATTTGTTTCTTTCTGAGAAACTGAATTTGTCAGCCTCTTTCCTTGGTATCTCATGTTCCTTGGCCTTTGCAGGTAGGTTTATATAGACGTGCTCACCACAGAACAGGCAGTTTCTCAAAAAATTAAAAATAGAATTACCAAATGATCTAGCAATATCACTTTTGGATATATAGCCAAAATAATCGAAAGCAAGGTCGCATAGAAACATTTGTACACTGATATTCATAGCAGTGGTATTCACACTCGTCAAAACATGGATGCAGCCTAATTGTCCATAGATAAAATGTGGTATACACATGTAGTAAAATATTCTTCAGCCTTAAAATGGAAGGAAATTCTAACACATGCTACAACATGGATGAACACTGAGGACATTTTGCTAAGTGAAATAAGCCAGTTACAAAAAGAAAAATACTGTGTTCTTTCACTTATGTGAAGCATCTAGACTGAGTAAGCAAACTAACAGAAACAGAAAGTGGAAAGGGGGTTTCCAGAGACATGGGGAAGGGAGAAAACGGGAAGTTGCTTAGTGGATATAGAGTTTTGGTTTTGTCAGATGAAAAAGTTCTGGAGATTGGTTGCATGGCAATGTGAATATACTCTACATTACCCAACCCAAGGGCTCTCCTTGACCCCTGTTCCAACTGTACACTTAAAAGTGGGTAAGGTAGTAAATTTTATACATATTTTACTACAATTCAAAATATAATAATTATTATTATTTATCTTTTAAGATGCCTCAATCTGTTGCCCAGGCTGGAGTGCAATGGCACTATCTCGGCTCACTGTAACCTCTGCCTTCTGGGTTCAAGCAATTCTCCTGCCTCAGCCTCCCAACTAGCTGGAACTTACAGGCACCCGCCACCATGCTCAGCTAATTCTTGTATGTTTAGTAGAGACGGGGTTTCACCATGTTGGCCAGGCTGGTCTCAAACTCCTGACCTCAGGTGATCCACCTGCCTTGGCTTCCCAAAGTGCTGGGATTATAGGTGAGCCACCGTACCCGGCTGTCAAAATAGAATTTCGTGTTTTTTTTTTTTTTTAAGATGGAGTTTCACTCTTGTTGGCCAGGCTGGAGTACAATGGCATGATCTCAGCTCACGGCAACCTCCACCTCCCAGGTTCAAGCGATTCTACTTCCTCAGCCTCCCAAGTAGCTGGGATTATAGGCATGTGCCACCACACCTGGCTAATACTGTATTTTATTTTAGTAGAGATGGGATTTCTCCATGTTGGTCAGGCTGGTCTCCAACTCCTGACCTTAGGTGATCTGCTCACCTTGGCCTCCCAAAGTGCTGGGATTACAGGTGTGAGTCACCGCACCTGGGTTCTTTCTTTTTTTATTATTTTTATTTATTTATTTTGTGTGTGTATGTGACAGAGTTTCGCTCTTGTTGCCCACGATGGAATGCAAGGGCACAATCTCGGTTCACTGCAGCCTCTGCCTCCCAGGTTCAAGCAATTCTCCTGCCTCAGCCTCCCGAGTAGCTGGGATTACAGGCATGCATCACCATGCCTGGCTAATTTTGTATTTTTAGTAGGGATGGGATTTCACTATGTTAGCTAGGCTGGTCTCAAACTCCTGACCTCAGGTGATCCACCCACCTCAGCCTCTCAAAATGCCAGGATTACAGGCAAGAGCCACTGCACCAGCCTGAAAAAAAAATTTAAAGTTTGAGAAAATACAAATTTTGCATAGTCTCCAAGTATTTCTCCTAAGATATTTTCCCCCTATGAGGGGGAAAGATAGTGACTTTACAAAGGAGAAACCCAGCAGAAACCTGAACCAAATGAACAAGTTCAACATCATCGGTAAGAAGAACTAGCAATGCCATAACTCTGATGGAATGCACGGGGAAGGATTCCACATCATTTTTGTGCTGTCATTGCCAAGAGTGCATAACTTCAATCATGGAAATATATCAGACAAACCCAAATCGAGGAACATTTGACAAATACTGATCAGTACTAGTTCAAAGTGTCACGGTTATGAAAGATAAGGAAAGATTGAGGAACTGTTACTGCAGTCCTACAAAACGGCGAAAGACTGAGAAATAATTAAATGCAGTGTGATCCTGGGTGGAATTTGGGAACAGAAAAAGGACATTAGTGAAAAAAGTGGTGAAACTGCAATAAGGTCTTTAGTTTAGCTAATATGTTCATTTTAAATTAGTTAAATAACTTAAATATATTTAAACATTACTTAAATGCATTTAAATTAATAAAATTTGCTATTTTGTGAAATAATTTTAATATAGTTAAATATGAGAATGTGGATTTCCTGGGTCTGATCACTGTACTGTGGTTATCTAAGAGGTGAACGTTCAGGGAGGTTGGGGGAGGAATAAATGGAAATTATACTATTGAGCTGGAAGAGAGAAACCTACCCCATCAGTCACAAAACCCTCACATTCACGGCAGTGTGTTGGAGGTTCCAATATGAATGGCATTTCCCAGATGTCAGCGTGAGGTCCCTGTGGGGGGAGTGGGGCTCCCTGGGAATCTAGTGGAGAGCATTCGGGGCTCCCTTCCTC